AACTCGGAGATGATGTCACGGAACCTACCCCATGACCTTTCTGGAATGGTGATTGCCGTACGGAAATTGTTTCTGACCTGCAATTCAAACAAAATTATAACAATTCCTTCCCTTAGACATATATTACAAATATAAAACTTTAAAGCTAGTGATAAAATTCTTTCATAGCTAATGATGAATAATATGAAAGCCACTAATTAGTATCCTTACAATTACAAAGCTTAGTAAGGACAGTCCAATCAAAACTGGGAGATTAAATTTTTCAAGACAACCATATATCTCCTACACCATAAAACATATGGCTTTGGTCAAAGACGGTTAAATTGTGCAAAAACATTGAAGTTTAAATATTCAGTTGCTTAACTCATTCCCTCCTGCAATGCTACTTCCGTATTTAATTTATTTGCCTGAGAAAGGGATGTAACCCCGTTCTGAAATTGTTTACATTTTTTAAATATGTATTTAAGCTACTAAATATTATTTAATGTTAATGAATTAAGAACAAATGCAACAAAAAATGAATAAGGTGTCATATAAATATAACATTTGCGGGGAAAAAATAACGAACAATGACCAAAAAATAGATTTTCAGCACCTCGGACGAACACCTGCTACATATAGACGCGCCGTAGTTTTAAAGTGAAACAAGATAAAAACTTCCGGTTTTTAAATTAAAATCATGCTGAACCACGCCATCGCCGGAAGTCTCGGGGGATGGGAGATTTCATTGCTATTTTTAAATAGATATGAGAGAGGTGTGTCGCTATGCGCCGGGACGCATTTGGATGCATCCGGCGAAACCCGTAAAAGACGCATTTAGTCGCAAACGTCGGGAATGAGTTAAAATAAACTGCTAAACCCACTTATTATTTTTGGGGAATAAATAGAACAATGTTTTTGTGAAGAACAGCTTAACGTTTATGAATGGAATTACCCTCAGAATATATAAAAGTCAAGGAATGAAAAGAGTACTCACACTCACCTCCGAGACGCGAAGGTATACGCCTCTCCTGTTTGAGCCAACATCAAAGTAAAACATTTTATTTTCAACTCTCATTGAGCGGCTTTCAGGAAGCTCATTCTGTGGCTCTGTAAATAAAATGAGACATTTCATCATCAAATAAAAAAAATTGTTTGCTGCTCTTTTAAGAATTTTGACTACCGCTCTCTGTGTCCAAGTCTAAATAGAAAATATTATGCTGGTTGACCAGCAGATATCTTTAAAAATGAAAGCACTTGTTTATATGTTTTAGTTTTGTGCTAAGTTTTGCCAAAAATAAAACTAAAAAATCTATTTAAAAAAAATATT